GGGATGGGGAGTCAACCACTTCCCTGGGCAGCCTCTTCAATGCCTGACTACCCTTTCGGTGAAGAAGTTTTTTCTAATATCCAACCTAAACTTCCCCTGGCACAGCTTGAGGCCGTTTCCTCTCATCCTATCGCTTGTTACTTGGGAGAAGAGACCAACACCCACCTCACTACAACCTCCAAAAGGAGGTAGTTGTACAGAGCAATAAGGTCTCCCCTCAGCCTCCTCTTCTCCAGACTAAACAACCCCAGCTCCCTCAGCCACTCCTCATAAGACTTGTTCTTTAGACCCTTCACCAGCTTCGTTGCCCTTCTTTGGACACGCTCCAGCACCTCGATGTCCTTCTTATAGTGGGGGGCCCAAAACTGAACACAGTGTGCAAGGTGCAGCCTCACCAGTGTCGAGTACAGGGGCACTATCACCTCCCTGGTCCTGCTGGCCACACTATTCCTGATACAAGCCAGGATGCCATTGGCCCTCTTGGCCACCTGAGTACACTGCTGGCTCATGCTGAGGCAGCTGTCAACCAGGACCCCCAGGTCCTTTTCCGCCAGGCAGCTCTCCAGCCACTCCTCCCCCAGCCTGTAGCGTTGCATGGGGTTGTTGTGACCCAAGTGCAGGACCCGGCACTTAGCCTTGTTGAATTTCATACAACAAAGGATGGAGAGTCTTCCTGGCCCTCCTTTTGTCGCTGATATATTTGTAAAAACATTTTTTGGTATCTTTAATGGTGGTGGCCAGTTTAAAATGATACACTGAAAGCTCTTGCTCCAAATCCTTATTCGTAATTCCTGAAATAACAAAAGCTTTTCAGCTGAAGATTTCATAAAATGTAATTTAAGTCAAAACCCGAGAACATGACAGCTAAGGAGTCATAGAGGCATCCTACAGGCATACAATCCTATAGGCGTCTAAAAGCGCTTTTCTTCTAGTAGGAAGCGTTAGGCACTAGTGTGTCAACTCCATCCATAAGTTTACAAACAATGCATCCAAATCTGTTCCAATATATACAAAAAATAAGGAGAAACCCCAGCAAACTCGGTGGAATTTAAACCTAGCATAAAACCAACCTGGTATCACATTCTGTCACAGTATATTGCTACAGTAAAGTGCTGTATGTTGAAACATATATCAAATTGCAGGATACAGTGAAGTTTGTCATATATTTAATTTTTATCTACTGTTTTAATCAATTTTAGTTATTTAGCCAATTCCCATGATGTTTGTTCCTGTGAACTAAGTGTAAACCAATGGTGCTCATTGTGACAGAGATGGACTACCTACTGAAATCCCTTAGGACGCAGGTTAATTAATGAGACTCATCCTAAGGTTACACATGATCTATTACTTCCTCTAATTAGAAATAATAATCCTGATCATTATGCTGGTTAGCTAGAAAGAAGTAAGATGAATGTGCTTAACTATGATTAATTGTCTTTAAGTCGTGCAGATCTCCACTGCCGCAAAGTTATCTGCTCACTGCTGTCTGATGGAAGGAAGGTTTGGTCTTGATACTTTTCTCAACAAAAGCTAACTGATGAACTTATTCCTATTTTAAATCTTTTATTTCAAAATTTAACCATATTATTAAAAGCAGAAGGTTTAGGACCATAAAAAAAATCTAATAACCAGTTTGTATTCCACTCAATTCCAAAATAAAGTCTCTTTCAATTAATTTATTACAGTTTTTCCAAATTACTTTTGTAGATAACATAGACCTTTCCATATAATAAACAATGTAACTAAAGATTTAGACTAACTTGGTGAACATTTTCAGGCCTTCATCTATCATGATTTAAAGGCAATCTCCACAAAGTTATAGTATAAGTGACTCACATTTAAAAAAAAAAAAAAAAGTGGCAGACCAATTATATATAGTTTCTCCCATATTGAAAACAGAGGTCTCCACAGGACTAGTATGAAGATTTGCTGGGTATATCTTTGATTTGTTATCTTGGGAACTTAAATCATAAACAAATGCAATTAACATCATAATAAAGTTTTCTGAATAAAAAAGGTTCCAAAAAAGTCACAAAAATCCTTCTCTTGTTCTTGTTCTTTGAAATCACTGAAGATCATGTTAAAATCATGTTAAAATGAGACCATGCCAGCAAAATTACAGTATTAGAATCACAGTAGCATGCTTTGGCTAGATATGGGGGAATTAGAGTAGTATACTTTGATCAGCTACAGAAATTTTTTGCTCCAGACCATCTTTAAGCGAAATACTAACATTAATTATCAGTTGTATTTATGGAATCTTACATCTTTGTGGAAATAGTTCCTAAATTATACAATCTGTGAGTGAAAAAAAAACCCTAGCAGTATCTCTAATCTCAGCCTTCCACTACGGTATCCTTCGAGATCCACTCGGCCTTCACAATGATCAGGTTATCATTATTGATACCCATTAAAAATTTAATAGTTGGTGCTAAGATGGATTTCTGCTACTCCACACCAATTTTATCCAATAGAAAAAACCAAAGACCACAGTATAATCAGCAAATTAGCGTCATCACTGCAGAATTATTTCTAATGCTACCACTATGGTTACCAGTATTACATCATGCACTACATTATAGAGGTGGCATTACAGAACAATACCAAGCACTTCAGAAAACACCTTAAATCCCTTTAATAATTATTCTACCATCTTAGTCCTCACTCCTGCTTTCTCTTCTTCTCAAGCAATAATAAATAAAAGCAATGATGAACTCTACGCTTTGGATTCATCATGGAAAGAGAAGATAAAACATAAGTTTTGGATCATACTAACAAACTTAAAGAAAATCTGATGCCATCATGATATGAAAGCAGAAATTTTAATAATTTAAGGTTGTGTGTGTAAGAGTCAGTGCTGCTAGGAGTTTGCTATTTTGAACAGATCAGGCACTGTATCCCAGGCACTCTATCCCATGAGTGGGAAATAGAGACTCTAAAAATACCTGAAAATATACTATGAGCATAAGCAATCTAATGCTTGGGGTAAAACCAAAATTCATAATGATACATGGTGCTGCTACCAAAAGGAGATGCCAAATATGCTCCTCTGTCTAGAGCAGTTGGGCTCACTGGAATTGCACAGATATCACCCAAGAGTTAGAAAACTCTGTGTGCTTCCTTTAGCACCAGTTTATTAGAACAACTCTTCACACTGTGCCTGATTAGACAGAACTTGAGTTTTCTGTCAATGAATATTCTAGCTCTTTTGCTTCATGCTTTAACTGTCATGGATGATCTGGATAGCAGTGCAGCCTGTGAGGGTGGTAAGTACAGGAAGAGAACCTTGAAAGCCATGGATAATGATCGCTGTAATAGTCTACTAGACGATCAACGGAGCAGCCATGTGACTGCATAGGTTTTAGGGTTTGGGTTTTTTTTTCCTTTTTTTTTTTTTTTTTTTTTTTTTTTTGAGTTGTCATAACAAGAACATTTCACTAATCTAAAAAGATGAAACAACAAAATAAGCCTTTCTATCCTGACACAATAAGGTATATCATGAAATAATTACGAGGTATACAGCCTTTGATATACGGTAACGGAATCTTTCACATTTGACTGAACCTCAATTGCCACACATCAAAAGATATAGAGAACAGTCAACTATGTATATCAAATGGTTATCACATTGTTATCATGATGATCCTTTAAGTCCTGAGGAGATAAAGAAGCGGCATCATATATGTGAACATTGACTTTACTCAAAACTACTCATTCTTAAGGGAAAGAAGTCAAGCAGTTCAGGCAGAACTTCTGGCATCCCTCTAAGTAACCTCCCTAAAATAACATTAGCTCATCACACACACAGGTTTTCCTTTCAAGTAGAAAAAACTTGCATTTTTATTCTAGATATTGCTGCTACTAAAATCACCTTGCTTCTCTCCACTCTTAATTTTGATGTGTCAAATACCCTATTTTGAAATACCTGGACAAATAATATCATTGAAGTTTACTCTATTAATTAACAGGTCCAAACGAGAATAGTGAACAGTTATCAAGACATAGACTGAGATTTATAATGTAAATTCACACGATGCTGCATGACAGATACTAAAACCATCGAGTTCAGCTTCACCCCACAATACAAGTGGTTTAGAGCTGGTTTTCCCTCCCTCTTAATGTCTTAGGAAATCCTACCAATGACATGAGAAGCAGATTTGCACCACAGGACTCCTGTACGGATGGAAGAATTTACCTTATTATTACATTTTTAAATACGTAAACATGAAATATTAGAAAAGTGAATGTACTGGAAATATTTCACTTTAAAGATTGCTCACTCTATCATTGTCTTCATACACCTAGAAGTATCTCCTTAAAATTAAAATAACAATAATCACACCTGAAGACCTTGTCCATCTATGGTGACGGAATTTGCTCTTTGCATTTTGTTCCGTTCTCCTAGTTTGTTCATTTGCTGTGGACAACTCTTTTCTTTTTTCACTGTTGCCTGTCTTTCCTTGAAAAAAGAAGAGAAAAGAAGAAAATGTAACGTTTTAGCACATAATAGAATGCTATACAACTGTAACTGAGACTGTGCCTCCACAAAATTGTTTTTTGACTAGAGAGTAATGTCAGATTCTGCTTTAATGAAAATGAGATCTCAGTCAAATTATTACACAATGTCTGGCAACTTCACATAACATCTATCTATGTGCCTGGACATTCCATAATGACTAGGCAATAGATGGATGAAAAGTGTGCAGTCACAACACAAATTAATGCAATGATGTGAAAAGATAATCTGACGGATGGCATTCTGAAACTGGAAAGCCAATCATACAAAATACTTGATTGTTTAATAAGCACGTTGATAAGAGATCAGTAATTTATGAAAACTTCATCCTAACTGCTAGCAAAAGTTGGATGCTTCAAGAGTACTTTACCTCTTTGGCAAAATATACCTGTTCTAAAGGTACCATAATCAATTGGCTGAGTGGCTTTTCATAACATGTATTTTTTATCAGAAAGAAACCAGAATCTACATCAGATTCTGAGCCGTTGGCATCTTTTGATGCTGATATACAGCACAATCAGATGGTTATTTGAAAAAGGAAAGCTCAGAAGTATGTTGCTGTAATTATATTCTCAACTGTTGTCAGGGCATTTCAGAGAACTCTGAACGAAAAAAAGAAGTCCTTGCTCGTTGTATCTCATTTATCCTATTTATAAACTGCACCCAGCATGTACTTTTAGGTTATCCAAAAATGCACCATAAATTAAGACAGCAGATGTTTATCAAATAGAATCAGTGTTCCCAATCCCGACTGCACCCCAGTCACTTTCCTCACTTCACAAGTGCAAGGAGGCTTTAAACTAGTCAGGGGAATGGGCTGGCACAAAGCTGCTGCACTAGAAAGGAGCATGAAGGACACTGTTGCACCCCCTGCAACTGCACTCAGTAAGCAGTTCATTAAATGTTACCATTTACGTTCCATACCAGGCCAAATCCATCTCTGTGGTACCTCTGATAAAGCCTTAGGGATTGCACTAGCAATTAATCCATGCCACTCTTTCTGGAGCAGTTTAAACTGGTAAGAAACATTGACACAGATTCTCTGGCAGGAAGGGAATAACTCCCGGCTTAATACAGTGCCTTCCTAGTATTACTGTAACACAGATGTGGACCATCACTGTGTTTATACCATCTTTGGTTTCCTTGAATTTGGAGACTGACACAGCCTCAATCCAGTCCTGATGCAAAGTGGTCCAAGTCATCCCAGGCTGCTTTGGGCAGCCAAGTGCTTTGGGGAACCATGGCAATCTTATCACATTTCCTATAAAAGGACTGACAAACCTATGCCACAAGAAAAAAAAGGAAAAAAAAAGAAAAAAAAAAGAAAAAAAAAGGAAAAGAAAAAAAAAAAAAGGGGAGAAAAAGAGAAAGAAAGAAGCAGGGGAGCCTACACTATTTCCCATATGCAAAGAGATTCCTAAGAGGTTAGTTAACTGAGCTCTTGGACGCTTTGAGTAACTTGATCAGTTCAAGAGGAGGTCCAAGAGTCTAGACTACAATATCATTGCTTTAAACAGAAAACAGTAAAAGCAATTAGAGCTATTCATCTCAGCCCTAACCTTCAAAACACAGACAAGCACTGTCCATACCACGGTCTAAGAAATCACTGACTCTGCACTTATTTATTTGGCTATTTTTTAGAAACTAGAACTAGGATGAGGCATCCAAATAGAATAACATTTGTGAACTAACACAAAACATTAATGCACAACAGTATTGGTTAGTCCCAAGGATAGAGAGTAAGAAACTTCAGTATGAAGGAAGCTTCATACTTTGCTACATCGGTAAAAAGCTTTGGGGTTTTAAAGAACTTTTGTTTTAAACAGAATTTTATATTACAGCCAAATCTGGCTCTTGGATATTGCAACACCTTCAAAAAAATCAAATCAGATGTCAGTAATGCAGATACACAGCTAGTAAAAAACTCTGATTTCTAACGAAAATCAGAGAAGGGGAGCAAATTTTAAAAAGTCTAGAAAAATTTTAAGCTAAACAACACATTTGTGATAGTTCAAAGAAAAAGGAACAGATCCAGTACACTGAGTATGTGTATTTAGAGAGGTTAAAAAAACACTGTTCAATAGATGCCTACTTATAAAGTGTGGCACTAAAAATCTTCTTGCATGTATCATGGTATTACTTAGAGAAAGGTATTTATACACTGCTGAGAACTGCCTTTACATAAAGGATGCTTACCACAGTGCCCAAACCTGCTGTTATCAATCATTCACTAGCAAAATGCAGTAACAATTACCTCAAGCAAAGTTTTGGATATTGTTTTTTTTGTTCCAGCACGATACAGACAGCTGCAAATACCCTCAGCTGGCTCTGGCCCTATGACCGCTGCATCAGCAACATTCCTTCTCCAATTTGTGTTACCTGTCCCGTAAGTAAAACAATTGCTTGACTCACAAAGACAGCTTCTCCTAAGCAGTGACTACACAAGATTAGGCCATACACCTCACACAATATAAAGAAAAAACTATATTCATGATACAGTATTGTCTAGAGTGTTATTAAAAAAATCAGATATGGATACTTGACCTCATTATCATTGAAGGTCTGCTTCCTTCAATGATGATTTTTGAAGAAAGTAAAAATAATGTACTTTGTATCACCCATCTTATATGCATATGATACCATAATACATGTCACCACATGTACCAATAGTGCTCTCTGAAACATTTCTGAAGAAGCTAATAGGATATTCTAGATTTCCTAGAGTTATATATCCTGTAATTTTTAGATATGTGTCATACTAGTGAGGATCTGACTTACAGTTTGTATGAAATAATATAATAATGTGTATCTTAATTCTATTGAATAAATCTATTAATGGAACACAAAAAGATTTACCATTTTATTAAAAAAATCTCTTTTAAATATTCTTGCACAGATACTTTGTTTTATATATGAAATAGAAAGCTGGCTTTCTAATCCAGTCATACTTGACTCTTTGAATAACTTTCTTTCAGGAACTATACCATTACTAAGCCATCCAAGAGTGTCGGAAACTAAACTGTCATTTTTTTATGAGATAACAACAGTTTAACAAAATCACCTGTGGATATCAGCCTACAAATTCTAGCAATGTTAAGACAAATTTGACATGCATTGAATAAATGGTTTTACAAAATGCAAAAATTTCTTTTTCAAGGTAAGAAATGTTTCTACAACAGCTGTGCTGTATTTAATATCTTGTTAATTAAAGTACACAAAATGATAAATGTATCTATGAACCATTTTGTTTAGTGGACATGCATGAGGTTGATAGAGATGCTGAATACAGCATTTTAAAAGCTATTGTACATTTTGATGGCTCAAAGAATCAAGCTTTTCTGTTCCTTTGGTATGTGCCAGAGCACATACCTTTCAAAATAGTACTTACCACAACAAAAATTTTTTCCACCCATTTTTGCACCTCTCGTGCCTTCTTTTCTCCCCTTGAACTCCCACTTTGAAGTCAATATCCATTAACTGGAGCTTCTACCATTCAGTATTGCTCCAGAGAGATCACTGCCAGATAGGAACTATTCAATTGTGTCTATCCCTTATTCATCCAAATAAGAAAGAAGAATTGATAAATAAGACAGGGCCTTTCAAATGACAACACAGAATATCATGCCTAGATTTTTAGTTCAGCCCCAAAATGCACTTTTATAGCAAGAAGAATGTACAATATCATGATCTGTTAGTACTCGTGTGTATATGGATGCCTCCCGTTACGCACCTCAGGGAGCAAACCTCCTAAACTGGGTAGCGTCTGTTGGAAAAAGAGAATGTTAGGCTGCAACATCGAACAGCTGGGATGGCAAGGGGCATGGAGAGAGCACTCACGAGGAATGTTACCTTGCAGCAGTTGTATTTAACAACAAATGTACATGATGCTTTTTTACACATTTGCACAACCGTACTCCCCCAATGTTTTGGCTGTCATATTATATAATTTATATTCTGGGAAGTGTGTGTGGGATCATTTTATCACCAGCTAAAAATACTAGAAAACCTGAGGACTATATTCTTTCGAAGAGTAAAAAGAGATACTTGGTACCTGGGGAGTATTCTTTTTATTTTATCTTCCAAGTCTTTGAATCCGCATCCAAAGTGAGGAATCTTATTTAAAAAGCTTTCTTTTACTACAACTAAAAACATTCATCCTCAAAAAGTATTTCTACACTTTCTTTATATAGAGGTACAGTCTTTTCCTTTACACAAAACATGGACACTTAGAAATATCATACTTTATCATAGATGGTATAAGAAAACAGATGAAGAGTAACTAATGGCTTAATAAAGTTACATTTTTACAGTTTATCTGCTGACACAGAACCCAGTGCCAATGCAGCAAAAATTGCTTTTTCTCACCTTGTCTCTTAATCAAAACATTTTATTTTACACATTAAACAACAATTACATTAAATAGCATTCTAAAGCCATTAGTGAATGGCTAATACCATTACACAGTTTGTCAAGTAACTACTGAAAACTTGAGATTACTTCCGTATGATAATTACTTCTTTTATACTATATGCCTTCAGATGAGGCATATACCCTAACGCTCAGCTTGGGGATGAGGGTGCATAAGGAGAGAACCAAATTCCATGTTAATATGCATAAACTGAAACAGTTATAAAAAATATATCTTATTTTAGAACTCTGAAGCTTGAAAGATATTGATCAGGGGAATCTGGTCATGGAAGATCAGATGGAATGCATGGAATACTGTGTAAAGGTATCCTCAAATGTTTGCAGGATGAAGGCCATGAAAGTTTAAATATGCATCTTGAATACCAAACTGATGCTTTGGGGTTTTTTTAAGGAACTTGGAGGAACTGATGATTCCATGATTCCTTAGAGCTATTTTGTTTAATGACGTAGGAATCTCCAAGGGATACAAAACCTGTGCTTTAATATGCAATGAAATATTAGAATAGGTACTCCTAGACTGTAACTTTGTAAACCTATGTGGTATTCAAGACCTTGCTTACAATTCCATTCCATGCAATTTCTGTCCATATTTACACAGTAACCAAAGAGAATCAAAGATTCAGACACCCTGAAAACTTCAAAAAACGCACCACCACTACCCCAAAACCATGGGGAGCAATCTGTCTGTAATATCTATTAGATATCACACCCAACTAACCATGATTTAGATGTGCTAGAATATTTTGAAAATTTACTTTAGAAAATTTTCTCCACATTTCCAGCTTTAACCCTGTGTACATACTAACCAGAAGGGCCAATATTAGGACACCACATCATGCTGCCATGAAAGCTCATAGAGCTGTAGCACAATACCCAGCTCTACATCCATGGGCTGAAGCTAAAAGTCATCCTGTGGACAAGATTAGTGACCAATTCACTAGCAAAAATACTGTCCAGTGAGCTGCACATGCCCACACGATAAAGGAAAGATAAGGCTTCTACTGTATCTGAGAGCTGTCTTGATAGAAACATTTGCAGCTTAAAAAAAAAAAAAATCACATTATGTCAATCAGAAGGTGGTATTTTGTCACCCATAATACTAGTAGCCAAAATACATGGAAAAAGACAAGACTGGTACAGTGACAATGTCATTTGAGAATACCTTCTGAAATAGCTGACCACAAGACTGTTCTGAACAAGGAATTGCTACATGGCAACTTTATATATATACATCCTTTGTGTTGATTGTTTAATATGTCTTAATGAAGATGTAAAGAATTACACATCAAAATCACAATGAAGTATTTCTTATTTAGCATGTTAGCCTTAGTTCATTTAGTTGGCTGAAGATAACTTGCCTTACATCTTGCACCCATTCAATGTATGCATCAACATGCACTAACAGTAGGACCCAAGACTTCTAATTTAATTTGCAACCTAAAACGAACTTGGGCTATAGCAGGCAATTATATACATCATCCAAGAAAGATAAAAGAGTTGGAAAAGAATTTTGAAAATAAAAACATGTTAAACACCAATGGGAGAGGATGTAAGGAATAAACTTAGGGACAGACAGTACTGATGAGTTGTGGGCAGGCAACTAGATATAACTTAAAATGATTGAATGGCTGCCATTTCAGTTTATCAGCATCTTATTATTTTAACATTGAACTGTGTTTGCCGAACAGATAATTAGTTAGGAAGATACATTTTCCTCCAGGGCAATTATTAATTTCCTTCTGACTTCAAAGAAATGAAAAAGCTCTTAGTGTAGATAAGCACACCATTATATTTCAAGTCTGGTTTAGATTCTCAGAGAACAGAATCTGCAATATGATACACAGTTGAAAAGGAAAAGAGTGTTTTGTTTTTTCAATGTTTCAATTGCTATGTATTACCTAATATTCAACAACCAGATTTAAATTCCTCCCCCCACAGAAGCATATATATTCAAAAAACTGTTTTTCTGTAGTATCTTTTTTCAGAAACTCAGAATAAGGCTAGTACTCAGCTTCAAAGGATCAAGTTGCTCATAAAGATGCTTACACACTGCACTGACTTTCTGCGCTCCATGTTGAGCTTGGATTCAACTGAGTTAAAACTGATCTCTACTACAATAAAAACAGAAGAATCATTTTAAGATTAAAAAATGGAAAACGGATTAAGAAAGCTCATTCTTCAACCAGCAAGTGCAACCAATCCAGAAAATGGATTAAGAAAGCTCATTCTTCAACCAGCAAGGGCTAAGTCCCTTTTTTCTCTCTCTACATCTCTGCTTTCCTGTGTCAGTAACATCTACCCACCTCACAGGAAAACAGTATTAGTAAAACATTGTCCTGGTTTTGGCTGGGATAGAGTTAACTTTCTTCATAGTAGCTAGTATGGGGCTATGTTTTGGATTTGTGCTGGAAACAGTGTCGATAATACAAGGATGTTTTTGTTATTCCTGAGCAGTGCTTACACAGAGTCAAGGCCTTTTCTGCTTCTCACCCCACCCCACCAGTGAGTAGGCTGGGGGTGCACAAGAAGTTAGGAGGGGACACAGCCGGCACAGCTGACCCCAACTGACCAAAGGGCTGTTCCATACCATATGACGTCATGCTCAGCATGTAAAGCTGGGGGAAGAAGGAAGAAGAGGGGGACGTTCAGAGTTGTGGCATTTGTCTTCCCAAGTAACCATTACTGCTTTCCTGGAGATGGCTGAACACCTGCCTGCTGATGGGAAGTAATGAATGAATTCCTTGTTCTGCTTTGCTTGCATCCATGGCTTTTGCTTTACTTATTAAACTGTCTTTATCTCAACCCATGAGTTTTCTCACTTTTACTCTTCTGATTCTCTCTCCTGTCCCACCAGAGGAGGGTAAGCAAGCAGCTGGGTGGTGCTTAGTTGCCGGCTGGGGTAAAACCACGACAAACGCATTATCAGACATGGAAAAAGTATCTATTGAACTATGTTGCAACTATAACACAGCCATTAGCTACTCTATCTAGTCTCTCTAAATACTGATAGTCAAAGAAAATTCTTGTACAATATTTTCAACTTTAATTCTGTATTACTTTTTGCCAGCATCTCAACACACTTGCTATATTTACACAAAAGTTTGAAGCTACAGATCATAATGTATATCGTTTAGCTGCACAAGGCACATTGCTTAGCTAAAACTTTTGTAATCATCTGTTGTGTACATTGTTTTACGTGCCTAAGTAGAACTAGTTACAAACAAAAAAATTTTTGAACATTTATATTCTTGTACAATAAAATGCCAAACCAACCCAAACCCAACCCAAATCAGATACAACTGTTTTCTCCACCAAAATAAATAGCAGTTTATATTTTAAAATAAGACATCAAGTGAATTCGACTTATGACGGTATTTTATATTAGATGTATATAAACAAATCTAGTCTATGATGTATAAAAATTCTCTATATATTTTATATATACCGAATTCTCTCTCTAGATATATATTCTATATTTATATAAATAGAATTTATGCTTAAATGATTTTGTCATAAAAAGTTATAAGCATCTTCACTAGACAAAAGAAAAACCAAATTAATTCCCAAGAGAAAAGAAACAAAAAGTGAGTTGTTCCAAACTTTTTATCATGATGACCAATTTGTCCCAGAATGCTGAACAAAGAAGTTGAAAATCGAACACAAGGGAACGTATCCAATTGTAAATTTTATTTCTTTCACTTCTTGTCTTCAAAATTACACCAGACCCTCCCCCTTTGAAATAAACTGGTTACTATGGAGACAGTGATAACTGCCATACAGTAATGCTCACACCGTAATCAGGGTACCTTATGTTTTACAATTTATTCCATAATTTTCTTTTTATTCCATGATCAACAGTTTTAATTACAGTTTTCAAAACCAATGTTAGAAATCAAGTAAAAAATAATTCATTGTAAAACTCACATAAACAATAGGAGACTCAAAATCATCATACATTATGAAATAAATATATATTTATTAAATAGTAGGCTTTTATTGGTTGATTTGTCATTACCCAAGGCTTTATCTATTTTGGTGGGAAATAGAAAAATCTCATTACTTTTCTACAAACATAAATATGAATTAGAACATCCTATGTGTACATCAATAAATGGAGCAAAGTAAAGGAAGGCATGAAATGAAGAAGCCAAAATGTATGTTGGCATTTTCCCCTTTCTGTGTTATAAAGGGGTGGAGGGAGAGAAGCTGTATCATAAGGAGAGACCAAACTTTTTTCTTCACTACTCACTCATCTCATTCCAATACCCAGTTTTTAACCTGGTTATGATCTAATTCTGTACTCTTGGTAGGCTAGGATTCAATTGAGTTAAAGATTTTTAAACTCACTGCCAGTCAACCTTATCATGAACTTTCATTATGTGCATGTAATTAATTGGGTCCAATGAACAATATCAGCACTGAGTTATAGACTTTTTCCCCCCACCATATAATTAGAATATAATTACCCACAGGATATCAGAATGATGCAAAACCTTTCCTCTAAATGTGCCCTCATTAGGAAACAAGTCTCAATGTACATTTATTCAATCAGTATGAATTAATTAAAACGTTACCGAAATAAAAGAGAGTAACATTAAAGTGTATCTGACATCTATTAAAAGACTATCACTTGAGATCTGCACACACAGTTTATAACAAAACTCATTTAACTTGAACAAAAAACTTCACCATACAACAAGCCTTATATATGGTAAACAGAAAAGTAAAAAGGACTAGTTTTAAAGCTGACAGACTACATTTTACTAAAACATTTAAAAGTATTGAAGTGAGATGAAAAATCTTTTTACAGCATTGAATCTAGACAGATATGTGATTCTTTCATGATACACACAGTATCAACTGCGTGAGTTTCCCCGTGGTTTCTTTTCAGCTGAGAATGTAGCCTATCATATTTACGAATAGCATTTGACAAGTTCCATTTTGTGCAGTTTTGAAGATGGGAGCCCTCTTATTTAACCTAGACCAGTCATCTAACTTTCACATGACCAGGCATTTAGGTTCTCTCTCCAGCCATTAAGAAAAGGGACACTGTGAGAGGTTCATGCCAATCACTCTATTTTGGAGGAATCTTCTCATGTGTCTAAAGAGACCCTAAATGAGTAACTTAGAACAGTCACCTGAGCTGAGATGGTTATGTTTAGGGGGGAGAGAAATGTCACCCTTTGTGATATTACAATCAGGAAGGGTAGGGTTTTTATTCATTCACAGTTGCAGCAGTGATTTTGGATGTCAGTGGATACCTAGGAAATGGAAAAACTGAAAGGATATGGACCTGAACAACATATTGCAGCTGAGACACCAGTTTGGTAGCTCTGGTATAATACATGGTGCTGTGAAATGCAATTTATGAAAAAATTCTCTTCATCTCTGCAGAAAGAGTTGAGGCTAGACTTCACAAGAACTGAAGATATGAGACATGCTGGATGAGAAAGGTAAAAATATGAATATCCCTAGTTCTGCAAAAGAGACGAGATAAGAAGGGATTTAACCTGTACTCTTGAAGGAAAACTTATGAGAAGGTATCTTGGTCTGAGATTAACTCTCACAGTTTTCTGGGAGAAGTCTGGACTACCAAAGTTACAGACAGAAGGGAAGGCCAAAACTTTTCGGAAATCAAAGATATAAGATTTTTCAACTTGATATTTTCCCACAAGTCCTATAACTTATTCTATGGTAGAAGGAGATACATTCTTTTCTGATACCTAAAAATACTCGAGGATAAACCTGGTACAGAAAGCATTGTGGTTATCTGCTTTTCTTTATCTTCCACATATATGTCGCATTGCAAGAATATTATTGCTCAGCTGATCATTGAAGCTAAATGTGTCCTAGGTGAAAGATCCTTCCACTGGCAGGTATATCAGATTTGATATGTCTGCACACATCATTTCTATTAACAGACACACTTACTATTGTATCTTTAGACAATTTTGACATGGATATATTCACTGGTTTTGCTGTCATTATTGAGAGTGCTGGTTTCACATACACTGAAGTATTGTTTCTCAAAAGGAATCCCCATAACAGGAAATGGGAGAAACTAATTAAAAAATTACTAAGATAAATAATATGCACACTGTAATCAATCGTTTCTAGGAGGAATTCCTATTAGCTAGGTCACTGATGTATTATTTGTAACGTAAGTATACTCTGGATTTTAATGCATTTTTGGAAGAAACTACTAGATGAACAAATATACTACGAAATTATAAAGTTGCCATTAAATCACAGTAAAATATATTTGCCATTTCTAACAATATATATTGTGCTGAAATACATGCTTTATGTTACATTATTAGTATGTAATACTGAAACATGATTCTGATACAGGAAAACATATTTACTTCTGCTTATGCCTTCAAAATTTGCAGATAAAACAAACCTATTCAAGGGTGATTTGACTCTAGAGTGGTTTTATATATCCTCTAAACAACTTAACTAAACTCCAATTGTGGAATGAAAGTCTTAATTCCTCTATCCCTCTTCCTCTCCTGAAAAGAAAATGGAGTTACGCAAATATAATTGAAGATGAAATTTCATGCTGAGGCTTTTATTCAGTTTATAAGAATGGCAAACAATAAATAACAATAAAACAAAAACAGTCCAATAACAAAATCATAATTTCTTCACATTGAATTTTAAAATATTACTTAAAATCCTGAAAATTAAATAATATGATGCAGAATGTAATCATCCAAAAAACTTAAAATAATATTTTACCATTGTTATTCAGAACTTGTCTAGGTAGTATCAAAATACTATTACAGACAAACTACAGAACTACTCTTATGACTTTTCAAAAATATTAAAGAATATTTCATAAATATTAAAGTCAACTTTCCATTGCTTTACCTTCATTGACAGCAATGGAATAGTCCCAGTTTACTCAAGTAGAGGGCCAAAGTCTAGCATCCATCCCTTAGCAGATTTATAAACAAACAGCCAAAAGGATTAATCAGAAAACAAATAATTTACAATGGGCATGAATATTATTCTTAATGATCAGAAGCAGGTTTAAGATTAGTAGGTATATTTTTTTGTTTTTCCTCCCTGCAATAAATCATTCTTTCTTAAGTTCAAGCATTTCTTACTCTTATTATGAAATATATTTAAAGTAAGAGGACCACACGTCTGTTCTGTTATGAATATGATGATGCTATGACTTTCATCAGCATAAAACATCCAATTTAATATATGAATACATAAGTTAATTCCAAAGCTCTTTTTTCATGATAAACTGGTCAGCTCTTTTCTATAAAACCTACACATAGCATGCATTTTTACTTTCATTGAACTGAGTTATTGTTTTTGTGGACAGAAAAATTTACTGTCCACGACTGCAGAATAAAATATACCATAATGTTGATGCATAGCTTACTGCAAGACCAGTGTCATCATTCTAGGTAACCTCCGGCTTAGATCAGAGACCTCAGCATTGCAGATATACAATATGCATCCCAAGCAAAAACTGTCCATAAGAATAACTTCATTATTCTGGGAAGTTGGATCTATAAAAGATGTAAAATGTAGAAGTGTTCTGCCTATACAGTTTCTGGTAAGTACAGTCTGAGTAAGTGATAAAACCTGAGTCAGCGATAAAACCTGAGTCAGCTTCAGTTATAATACGCCCTACAAAAACACCATTCTCACATGAAGGAAAATGCAATATGCAGAGCATAAAGCATGCTTGTGCCTATAAACTCATCAGCCAGGATTACCCATTGTGTTTAAGGTTCACACAGTTCTGTGAATTAACAAATACTCCGGCAGTCAGTCCCAGCATCGTTTTGGTCGTTACCTATGACAGAGGACTACATCTGAAATAAACATACGGACAACTCACCAATACTACTGGGCAGATTGATGTGGGTGGTAAAATATGGTCCTTCAAAGGTCCACAGTCACATTCAGGTTTTAGATGTGAAGCACATTTGTTATGCAACTACAGGAAGACAGAAAATGAAGATTCAACTTCGATATTTTACTACTACAGTCTAAGAAAATAGGCATCCTAGAATGGGGTGAGTTTAACTAATCTAATTATTACTAAAGTACTACAAGGAAAATGAACCACTCTGCAGTGAAAAGCCTCTTAGGATTTTCAAAACCAATGACTTTATATTGAGGGAAAGAACAGTGGATCAAAATATTTTCCAGTTTGGAAATTGCACATGTGGTCCAGCACACCAAATGACAACATTGCACGGCAGTACAGTAAGGTCAGCGTAGCGTTATTGGTGATCAAAACCTTCATTTCAGAAGATAGCTTCTTGCACTGAGCCAGGAACTTCTGTTTTACTACTAGTGGGCAATCTGGGGTAATTCAGGGCAGCCTTTGGTATTACTGGTATAACTCTGCTTCCTACCTGAAGCTGATAAAGTCACTACTGATTCAATTGTGATGCTGCAATATCTATGAAAATATATATGAAATAAGAGAATAATGTAGGAATATCTAAGAGCTTTAAGCTATATTGGGGAAATTTTGGTCTTGATTGAATCAATGTTCAGGCTTCTACTGACTGCTGAAGAACCTAAACTACTCTCCTTTCTCTACTTTATTCTTAGCATTCATCCAGTTTTCCTGAAAGCAATGAGAGTTCTGCTCTGAAAACACGGAAAGAATATCCTCAGGTCTGCTGACTGAAAGAACATTAACTTACTTATCTATTGTTAAAAAGGTGGAAGGGAAAAACGTGCATATAACATCAACATAAAATGCCAACAAATAATGATCTATTTATTGAAATATTTTGCATTAGCAATCACGAGTTCTTGTTGATACTTTAGGATTTAACTCAATTCAAATGTCTCTAAATAGAATATTTCAACATATATATCCAGCCACACAATACAAAGGCACAGTTGTGTGCCTATATCATGTAAAGCATTCACATTTAACTGGTATTCTTCACAATATTAATTGAGATAGCCACGATAAAATACAACTTCATGTTGTGAAATTTGGTGAAAGTTTATTATTTTGGACTTGATGATCTTAAAGGTCTTTTCCAACCTAAATGATTCTACAATTCTATTTCTGCATTGATTCAATAAACTGTGCATTAAGTTCTTCAGGTAACATGCATTTCCCACAGAGATGAAGATTTTATTTTTTGAGAAGATATGTATATTTGCATTAAAGAAAAATAACCAGGATAATAAATATCAGAAATTTTGAATTAAAATCTTATTTAACAAGTGATTTAACTAGTATAATAGGTAGCATACAGCATTAGTTCAACAGGTTCAATAGCTGTTATAAAATCTGTAGTTCAATGTCTGCATCTGTAAATCACATTTTTCCAATTTTCCCTTAGATGATTTAACTATGTCAGTATGAACTCTATTAAAATTACAGTAAAATTGTACCAGTTGCTGATGTGTATAAGCTTTACCGGTAATAGGGTCTTCATAAAGTTATCTGGAACAGTTAATGTTGTCATAACATTTCTGAATTTTGAACTGAACGGCACCTAATATTAGCCTTGTCCATATTCATTTATACTGCAAAGTTACCTTTTCAGGCAGTTACTTAGCAACAGAAAATAAAAGTCTAACGAGTTTCGATTTACTCTGAGTATTAAAGCCTTATTGTGAGGGTATTTTGGTAGCCCTGTAATCTAAATCATTTTTCATGCTAATTCTCTGCCTCAGTGGTAAGGCTACTTGTACCATAATTAATGCACACCAGGCCATGTTACATCAAATAAAAGTATCTTCACACATTCAGTGGTAATTAGCAGCTTTGCTACTCGGTGGCATGCAAACTTATCTACGAAAAAAATAGCTTAATCTTCTTATTAGTCTCTGCTGATCTTTGACAACAGAATTGGTGCATAGCAGACAACAGAAATGGTAGAAGATATGTAGCTTTAATGAAAATAACACTTTGACACAATGAAATAAAATAATATGCATCTCTTCTCAAAAAAATATTTTAGCTGATTTTAAATATGTTTCCCCAAAACTCCCTTACTCCAAACCTAGTTCCTTTAGAATATTGCCTCCCTCACAATCAGATGCCTGTGAAGTAGGAATAAGCATATTTGCTGGAAACAAAACGAGGAAAAAAAACATTTACAAGACTGTGATAGAGAACTACCTACAGAGTATATGGAAGAGGGAATCATGGGCCTGGGTGAGAACTCGGTATAACAAGCCTCCTTAATGAAAAACATCTCTAAATTTCAGGATTTGATTCAGTTATTTGACATTAGAAGTGACCCTATTAAGTTGTAAAAAGGAGAGATATTTAAAATGCATGAAAGAGGCTCAGAATTAGTTGCATAATAACTAGCATCCTCTTACGTTACAAAAATATGTCAGCAACAAGCCCTAAATGTGTTGTTGTACAAGAAGTTGAAAACGTATGAAGGAATTGATGATAATTATATAACTACAGAATATCCATTCAAAAATCAATTATCTGTTAGAAATTTAAAACACTGTTTTTTCAGTAATAAAGTTATTACTATTATTACTGTTATTATTAGCAAAGAAAGTTATTGCAATAGAATACATAGAATACACAGAACTGCAAGAAAAGTGAATGGGAAATTGAAAAACAAATAATTTGCAGTATTTTTAAAACTTTAAAAATACTCATTTTTCACTTATGTGTCTAATTTACACCTGAAGCCATAAAAATTAAATAAAAAGCTTAATAAAGTTATTTTGAAAATACAACATTATTTTTACAGAAAATAAGAATCTTTAAATTACTGATGGAAATACAATTGCAAAATTGTAAACCTCAGTGCCAACATTTTCAATTGTGGCTGTTAAAAAACATAGGCCCATTTTTAATTGGAATTTTGATAGATATTTAAGCATTTAAATATGCACACAAGCACCTAAGATATTGTCAAAATAATTTAGCCTCTTCCTTCACAGTGACTTCAATGATAAATCATTCCTTGGGATTTCCTCAGTGAATATAATTTCTTACAGAAGTCCTCTAAATTTTGATGCATATCTTCCAGAAGTAAAACACCTTTACAAATCTGATCCAGATTCACATGAAATAATGGGAAAATAATTTTTCTCAGGAGCTACAGAATTTGCAACTTCCTCTGACTTTAAGAGGGAGCCTTACATAATATGTATTTCTTGAATGATATACATGTATTATACAGATGTAAACACTTCTGTATCTAGAGCAGAACACTCTTATTTATCTATCTAAACACAGATAGCCATTGCCTAAATTTAATTATCTGCATGCAAAAATTTTGGATTGGGTGTTTTACTCTCTACATAAATTATCCAAATTTTGACAGCAATCTGGACTAGATATTTGCTTTCTTCTGAAATATTGGTTTTTAAGTAATCATAACAGCTTATCACTGAAAGTATCCTGGATCTATTTTCTTTGATGATGTTTCATATTTTGTATTCTTGTGTTAAGAAAATATGTCATAAAACATCCAAACTTGTATGTTGAAAACAAACATTCACTAATGCCTCAGTCTCGTATTATTATTTAAAACACTGAACAAACAACTTGCTGTTCCACAACAATAACAATAATAATAATGATATCAGCAAAAAAGCAAAAACCCTAGAAGAAGGCTGAATCTCTCCCCATACAGATTTAAATCCTGCCCTGGCTAGGAACAGAAATACTGGCATTGCTCCTTCTAGCATGAAGATCTCACTTATAACTGCTGAATAAGGAACACACGAAAGTTGTATATATTAGACTTGGTGCACAGATTAGTATATTATCAAGATGTCTCTGCTATTATTCCCAGACACTTGAAATCACTGTATCCTACCAGATGTCCTCAATTTCATTTGCCTGTCAGTACACCACAAATTAGGATTTTGCCCTATTGTCACAGTGACCTTGACTTTCCCTGGTACTGAAAACTCCTTTATAATCTTTCTGTAATGTTGATTGGGAAAACTGCTCTTTAGAATGACATATATTATTTCCGTTTGTATATTATCTTGAAGCAGAGTACACCTTTAAGCGCATTTGCTTGCAACAATTAAGGACTCCTATGAATATTCTGCATATGCTGTTTCTTAAACACACACTATCCATTCCTGATGACACAACTGAATGAGACTCTTTGAATTATGAGGCTATAAAAAAGATACAGAGATTTTTTTCTCTTTAATGTGTGCTAAAGGTTTTACTACAGTATACTTACTGTGATCTGACACCAAACACAGTGAAGTCCAGTCAAGCCTTGGTAACATTTTATGGTTTTGTGACACTTATCACATTTTGTTGGACAATTTCCTTCTACCCAGAAATGGTGCATCACCTGCAAAAGAAAAGTGTGGATATACACAGAGTTACTAAATTAACAGATACATGGCAACGTTAATGCTACCCCAAACTTACATCAGTATTCTTTTTGGACTTCACATAGGTTTTGATGCAAGATGCGGGAGCTCTTGCCACACAGCGTTCATGGACTGTATACTTGCAAACTGAAAAAAGAAACACATTAATAGATGTTGAGGCAATGGTGTTTCTGACTACATTCTTATGAAACAAAAAACATTACCAGCATGCCATCTCTATATAATCAATCCAATCAGTCAATGAAAACTCAAACTAAACTGCTTTTTCCATGGAATACAAAAGGCCAATTAGAACAGGAAATATTATGCAAGTGAGAAATCCAAGAATACACTATCATTGCATAACAGGAAATGCTTAATTAAATCAGAGCTCACCAAATTTTTTCAAAATAATTCCCAAATGACAGAAATATTAAAGACAAATCGGTGACTGCCAAATGGTTTGGTGTCATTTGCTAGTAGAAAGAAATCTATATTTTACAAACTATAGGCATGAGAGCAGCTGGCAAGCACAAAAATAAAAGCCAATGAATTTATGTTGTTCCTTCTATCGATTTATAAATCTTAAATGGCTGATTAGTTCATTTTCAGATAACAATTGTTTTCATGCACTCCATGTAATTACCCCAACTTAACTCTTACTTTCCCAAATACCAACTCCTGAGAAGCTTTTTTTCCCTCCACACCGGTTTTAGGTAACTACTATTGTTGACGAGGTCTGTAAAGATCACACTAGCTGCATTTGGAAAACATACAAATGTCAGGGTACAATGCAAAGCTCTCCTGACTTCAACTATACAACTGTGCCTAGATGAGGAAATAATGCTACAGCTTATACCTGCATTCAATAGAGTCAACTATTAAAAACTGAGAATGAATTTCTCCCTGCATGGTATATGTCTCACGCTTTTGACCTCGAGAGCAATTAAGCACAAAGTACTTCTAAACACCTTGCTTGCACCTATTACACAAACCCAGTGGGAGGCGCAGCCATTAATCAGACAAACTGCAGGGAGTAACATTGTTGATTGGACCACGGAGGGATGGTGAGGCCCCCTGCAGTTTCCTTTTTTTTTTTTCCTCCCACACAATCTAAAATGCAAATAATGAAATCTATAGCAATGCTTTGAAAATATATTGGAGAAGAAGCTCTAGCAAGATAAGGAAATAGTGCAATAGTTTTGTAAGTAGACTAATGCCCCTTGCTGCATGAAGTAACTGAAAGGAACGTGTTCATGTTCTTCAGATACTCTGGGACCGTTGTTCTCACCAAATAAATGCCAAGCACAATAACGAATAAATTTTAAGGAGGTACATTGCAGCAGAGAAAATTACAGCACTTGTAAGGCTGGTCTTTTGGGGGCAGTTTACTTCATGCAACTCGTCTACACATTTCTGATAACTCTTGAAGTTGATCATCTACATTATTTGCTCAGTAGAATTTTCTCTTTCAAACATATATGGGTCTTATATTCCCTCACAAGGATCAAGTTTACATCAGTCTGACATAAAAGAATATTATAGAATGTAACATTTCAAGATCTAATAGTCAATTCAGCATTTTATATGTATATTTATATATATATATTCCACTTCGAATTTTAATAAATGTCTCTCTCTCATTTCATAGTATTGTGAATGAAATTATACAATGTGAAAATGCGTATCTGGAGGATTTACATCTGAAGTATGTTTTAAAGAGATCTGTGGCCCACAGAGGAGAAAGAAATGGTCGATTCCAAAACCCTCATTCATTCAGACTAATCTCAAATTAAATCAATAGAACTGTAGAGGCAGAAAGGTCCTGATCAGCTGTGATGGGCTGTCTTTCATACCAAAAATGGAGAAAGTAAGTTACACTAAGAAACTGATCAATTTATCAAAAAGAACAATGAAAGGTGACTTGATACCATCATGAGAAGAATACAGTGGGTACTAAAGATCTCATTAATCTAATGAAGCAGGGCATAACACGAACCAATCATTGGAACCATCTACCAGACATATTCAAATCAGAAAATAGGTCTTAAAAAAAGATGATTAATCATTGGAACACACCACAAAAGAAAGATATGGATCATCCATCTCTTGAAACATTCAAACAGAGACAAGGTATCTTTTGGCAAGATTTGGTTTCTCAACATACAGGTTATGTGCTGGTCAAACAGAGATTATTAGGAAATACATAGATATAACTCAAGGAATTCAACTGTAGTAAGTGCATCTAATAGTCTAATGAAGGTCAAATTAGACGCAGTAGTTTTTCTGTGTTACTCTACCTTAAAATCTATAATCAGTTAAAATATGAAAGGATGGCAAGACTGAGATTTATGATTACAAACCAAATAAACATGCAAAACTTTAGAAGTGTTACAGAAAATTGATTTCTGAGAAACTGGGATTTTACCCTTCACAATTAACAAAACAAGAATTCTGTGCAAAATTTGAATAAACAAATTGGGACTTAAATGCTAGTCAAGTTGATACCTATTAAAGAATATGAATAATTACTAATAAATACAAAAGAGGAATAACAAAAATATAAGGTTGAAATTTAAGCATGATACTTGCTAAGAGAAAAGAAAAAAAAAAAAAAAAGGGAAAAAGAAAAGAGGCAGACTCCAAAGAGAACTAACACTAAGAACTATTATAATACAGAAAACACTCTCGAACAGCTTTGAAAGCCCAATATCCTGAAAAATTAAAAATGGAACCTTGAGCACTCAAGCATAGAAGACAAGGGGAGAAACAGCATTGTTCTGGAAATGGTTTCGTACCAGGAAGCTACTAGTTCTTTGTTATGCAGTGAGCACAACATTTCTAGGAATAGACATGTATGCAAATGGACATTGAAATACTTATACTCACAAGAACAGCAGAGACCTTGCTTGCCTACTCCGATTAGCATGTTCAAACAAAGATTACAGTAGGCAGGCTTGTTAAAGTGTTTCAGTCTCCATACATGCTGCCCATCATCTTTCACATTCTGCACAGGACATAAAAGAAACAGATTTCACTTAATAAAATGAACAATGAAATATATAAATGCCAATAAAAATTGGAGATTGACTCAAGAACGTAAAAGACAAGCTGTTACTTTGTTTAATACTCCGCACCAGATCACAGTATAATAATTCTAAATACACAGGCAATGATATAATAAAAAATTCTTCAGAAGCTCATGGACATCCATGTGTTTCAAAAACAACTCAGAAAAAAATCAGGCTGCTGTAACCACTGCAACACAATGCTAGCAATAAATCTAGGCTGATATTAAATTACAACTAGTATTAAAACTAACTAAAATTTGTTCTAGACTAATTCTAAAAATAAAGGTGCTGTAGGTCAGAAGGTAAAACTCCTCAAAACGAACAATAGAAAGGATTTTTTAAAACTACAGAGATAATCTTAATGACCCTTAGAATTAGGGACATGGATCAACATATGTTAAGTGGGAAATCTAATCACACCACAATAAGACCTACTGCCAGCTTTAATTTATGTTCATCTCCTGCTGATAGTCTATCAAAAAGCAAGTATTTAAGGGTGAGATTTACATCCCGGACCCCTTCTTCAAAAATTGAATTCCTTACATTTAAGCCCACGTTTTTCAGTTAGCTGTAGTACTATACTCAAATCTTGCATGAATAGACTGATCAACTGATCAGCACTTAGAACTCAGGGGCCCATTGTAACTTATGCATACAACTAAAATATTATCAAATCATTTACATTTATGAAAGTAAGCTTTCAGTTGCATGATTCTCCACTTCCTTCTTAATGGAATCAGTCTGAGATCTCACTGTTATTAGAATGTTTTTAAAATTATGGGCACTTGGTACAGATGTTAAATTAATTCTGTAAACACCAGGTTTCTTGGCAAGTGTGGCCATCAGACTTCTTGCTTTTTGCAATCATCAGAGGTTTTGATTTAAAAAAATATATATTAGCCTAATGTAATATCACTTGATTTCTTTTTTAATTTATTTTTTACCAAATATAACATCCAATGGAACAAAGGCTATCAAATAGACAAAATATCAAATAGATAAAATGTCTGTCAGCTGGAAATGGGCTGCAGTAGTTTGATTCTTGATTGTGCATTACTGAAACACTACAGTCTTCTTGGTCGTTTCATGAACAAAAAAAAGAAATTGTCACATAGCTAAAGGAAGCCACATCAACCTCTGGTTCTCAGAAGGCACATCAACAGCTGGTCCTCATCCAGTTTCTGATTTCTCACATCAAACTACTACTACTACTTGTCATCATCTATATACAGTACTCCTGACTAGATCTTCAATAATATGATGGCTTTCACTGATAAGGACAGTCAATGTAAGTCAGGACATAAATTCTAATAAAAATTCAGTTTTGTCCTATATTAGTGTATACCGCATGAGTTAGGTCCTTAAAAATCAGTATTGCTCTATGTTGAGAGTTAGCCATTAATGACGAGTCAAAGATGAAGAAGACGACTTCATCCTTGCGGGGGGAAAAAAAATCCTGAAGGAAAATCAGCACTCCAAGAAATTAAGAATGTTTGGTTCAAAGCCAGGTCCTAGCCAGAACACAACTTTGAATAATTCCTATAAATTACCTAGAAACAAAAGAAACTGAAGTCAGCTGGAATATTTTTTCTCTGCTGAGATATCAGGATCAGAGCCTAAGTGGAGTTCCCCTGATATTATCAGCAGGAGTTCAAATGCCATCTCTGACAGCTGGGCAATGTCAGGGTCCCCTTTCTACAGAAAGGGGAGAGCAGATGCCTAATGTGGGATTCTCAGGCTGGCAAAGAGCATGGAAGTTTTCCAATTTCCCCTGAAGAAGCAGAAATAGATTCTGCAGCTGTGGAACACTAGAAGCCTGTCAAGCTCCTTCATGACTGGCAGCTGAAGAGAATGTATTTCATTAAATGGAGCTCTGTAGCTTTTATTTTTCTTTCGATCTTACTACCACATTCCACACAATTTTAAAATATTGTTAAACTACAATATAGTATCTGTTTCAAGTCCTGCGAAAGTAGACAATTATTCATTAGACAATAAGGACCATGTAAATCCTTCTGAGAAAAAACAGTAAACAAGGTACACTTCTATTTTAACATTACTCAGGTCATCAACAAATACAGTCATAAACCACAAGCACTTAAAATGCAAACTGACCAGCTTTCCTTAGCAAAATATTTGCTATTTCTGAAAATTAACAAAAAATCATAATTATGCATAAACTTGCCCCTCTTCCACATTAGTTTTGTGTTACTTTTTCATTTTAATTTTATTTTTAAAGAATGGCCATTACATGTGAATATGTCGCTTCTTACTTGAACAGAACATATGGACTAACTTAGCTGGCATTTTCCTTATCAGAAAAACAAACAAGTCTTGATGTGGGTGTTCTGCCAATTAAAACACTTAACTGTGTTACAGACTGCAACTGATGCAAATCCATTACATAAACACAATGCACTTTTGGAAAATAGCAAATTAAATTTTTGCTCTTGTGCACTGCCAAAAATAAGCAATAAAGTGCTGCATATGATTATGCATGCACATAACTTTTTAAAACACTGCCAAGAAAAAAAAAAGACATAATGTGAAACAAAACCCCCTCAATGCAAGTCTTTAAGTATGAATAAAATCCACAATTCTGACACATCAGTGCATTTACTGACATTCACTCATTTTGCTTCCATATCCTGAGAAAGAGTTTAAAAACAAACAGTCATTAAGAAGATCTCAAAGCAGGGCAGGTACAGTAAAAATCTCTTCCTCACTTCATTATACATCACTGAAAATGAAGCCTCCATATGCCACACACAGACTTTAGCACATAATGACAATAGTAACATTTATTTTGTTAACAACGGTTCTCTTAACTTATGGTCCTGACCCTTCTACCATGGATTTGATTGCCAAAAGGACCTGGCTTAAAAAGCAAGTCAACCATGAAAGAGTCAGCCTTAGAATTAGTGGAAAATCCCATGTAGTCACAGAATTCAGCTACACATCCCTAATCTGGTTTAATATTAATTTACTTCAGCTTTTTAGATATTTGTAAATAAAGGTAGCCAAAGAGATCTTAAGGTTTCAAGCACAAAACTCAAGATTCTGAGACTTAAAAAAGGTAATGAAATCACTGATAAATTTTCATCCTAGCAAGTATCCCCTCTTACAATAGCTAGAGTGTCTGAAATACCAGCATGCTCAGTCTTTTCTATGAGAAGAGTCAATAACAAGCAACCAAGGGAAAAGGACGTTAGCGAGTCTGCTAAGTTATTCTTTCACTGCCTACTGTTATTTTCTTTTCATTTATTCTAAAAACATTTACGTGACTTGAAGATATTTTTATGACTGATCTTTGGATATTGTTCAGTCTGTGGGGAGGCTAGAAGAGTGTCCATTAAACCATGCAGCACCTCCTATTAATACAAATGCAGTTACATTCTACATTCCTTTGATGGCTCTCAGCAAAGAATTCAGGTCAGGTTTGATTTTGTTCAATTTGGTTTGGGGAGAGGGGGTTCTAAATCTGTTCTGGTTCAACTGGAGAGGGACTAACCTGACTCGAGAGACATGCTATTCAGAAGGGCTCCTCACTTCTAACTTCCAAGATATTTTGTGTGTGTCTCAGTGTGTGTGCCGGAGACCCTTCCCCAGCCTTCATCCAGGCACTCACCAGTGTACTATCCTGATCATCCAGAAATGCATAAGCATTAATACGCACATGAGAATACGACAGCATAGAAAAGGGAGCACAGGAGGGGAAATTAATTTGTTTAAACAAGCTTCATAATTAGCCACACTATGAAGTTTCCCTGCCCCTAAATTGATAGTCACCTGTCATCTGCAGAGACTGAAATGCTGCAGAAATTACATTTTAAATAACGGTAAATTTGTATACCTGCATGAAATACCATTTACTTTACACCTTATATACAGAACAGGTTAGAGTTACTCCTGACTTCTCCTGGCCTTTTACCAACCTATAGGCAAAAGGAAAAGCAGGATTGTAGTAAGGAAAGGCATTTGCAAACTTCCTGCAAAGAAGCGGGAGCTAGCACAGCATAAAAGTAGACAGCACTGTCAAGAAAACAGATGTGCACTTTTTCAGCAGCTTCTGCTATGAAGTCTCACAAAGCATTAACATTACCCCCTCTGCTGGCAATGCCGTGAAATGATACTGGTAAAACAGCTCCCGTTATTACTCGGTAAATCTGCTTCCCAGCTGGTAGGGAGCTGGCACAAAGAGGGTAAGCTACAGCTTCTTCTAGCAAGGGCTTGGTTTTGCCCTCTGTACATATGGAAATAGCATATGGCTCATCAGCACTTCAGCCTTTTAGAAAACTCACCTGCCAGAATTCAGACAGGACTTACAAAAATATTACTGGGGACCATACAAAGCCAGATCGCCCTCATTCCTCGCTGAATGAACGAAATACAACTTTACGAAACTGCGTAGGTACTAAACAGTCATTTCAGACCTCAGTCTGAGAGGGACTCCTCATGCTGCGACAGGTCACACACCAGACTTGCAAATGTTTGCAAGTTCCCAGTTTGGTTCCACTTTCACGTACGCAGAGCTCAAGAAGTAAGCCAACAATAATGTAATATACAACGTAATAAGCAGTATTTCCCAAGTGTGGATTCACATTTGAGTATTCCATGCCATATTTAATCAGAAAGGTTAAAAAAGAGTTACCTTTTAAACTCTTTGAGTGTAAAAGCACAATATTTGCTGCTTAAGGATCCAAAATAAAACTGTATTTCCTTGTGATTTAATTGAAGCATAGTCATACTTCAACGCAAATGTGTTTGTCCCATTGACATTTACTTTGACTGAAAAGGTGAAATGGGTTGAAAATTACAACTGGTGACTTAAAAGAAAGGCATAGTGGCCTGGTTTCAGATTATTAATGACTTTACGAAGCATTTACTGTTGTTCAATTTCTCTCTCGCCTTAGGGCTGCTTTTCAGCAACTGTACA